CTTCCACTTGTCAGATCATCTTGAACTATGAAAATCCTACGACATCACAATAATATGGTAACCTTGATTTGATGCTGTAACCAGCATAGTCTGCAGACTACTCAATTCCTCAACTACTCACAGTAGAACAATCGTCTTTAGACTCATTGAATTGGTCTCGACGAGAGGCTGGCTTACAGATGGTGACTTTTGGAGAACACTGTTTCGTAAGGTGGTTTTTAAAATTTTATTAGTTATACCTTTCTATACATGAATATAACTCAAAGATAGATTAAGATTGATATAAGCTACGACTTAATTGAGAAAGGAGATGATGCTCTGATCTTTTCGAATATGAAATATCAAATATATATCGTTATTATAACCAGGCGTGGGATCAAACGAGTGTACAGTGCGTTTATAAACCCATCAAATCGCTTACAAGCCATCACCGCGATGCTTTGGCCGATGTAAACGAGTAACGATTTTAAACAAACACTTGATTTCTCTTAACCATTAACACATTTACGTTTGGATTATATTTATTTAATTACCCAAATATGAGTGGGCCTAAAGCCAGGACAAAGTTGTTCATTGTGTTTTTTACCTCTATCTTAAATTGATAAAGCCGCAAATAATTTTAATGTGAGTAGCGACCCTTTTTACTGTCAGATTAAACCTCTCAATTAGTAACGTTTTACAAAAGCATGCTGATAACCGTGTATGTGTGCTACCGGAGTGATGGAAAAGGAAAAATTTTAAAAAATGACATCTGAAAGAAACATGATGTGAAGCCTGGACTATTAGGTAAGATCTTAGCAAACGTATAGTTTTCTTTTCCTTTTCTTAGACGTGTATTTGGGTTTAAGAAAAGACGCGTAGGTAAAAACTTAGATCTACTGACCATCCAAAAATTGCTGCATTTACTTTTGATGGGAAGGATTGCTGGCAGGACGAAAGCAGGTCACAGAAAAAAGGCGTGGCTTGATAACATTGGAGTTGCGAACTTAATTCTAGAGCTAGAACTAGAGCGGTATGCAGAACTGGAGGCTAACTTTAATTAGTTCGAGAGGCATTGAGAGAAAAAGATAGGTATGTCTCTTTCTCATTGTAATCACTCTTGTATTGTACGCGTGTGCGCCTGTTGGCCGCATGTGTCTTCTAACGAGAGATTGTCAAACCACAGTTTACGGAAAATAGGCTGGCAACGTTTAAGCAGCTCCTCTGATGACATTGTAAACGTCCATGGGTGACGATGACCATCTCTCATCAAGTGGCTCGTCTGTTTGCTTGCCTCAAATAAAAGCTATTTTCAAAGTGTTTGAACTCAAGGACAATACATAAAAATCAAAGCACTTGTCTTTTAAACCGACTTTAAAAAAAATCGGATTCGTGATCTTTTGTTTAGCTGTTTATGCCACTTGTTGTGAACGACTTGATCAGACTTGTCTTATTTGAAAAAAGCTTTGATAAGGAACCTTTGTGAAATTTGATTGATATCCTCGGCGGCCTAGTGGCGCTAGATGAGGAGGACCAGTTCTTCAGTGTTCTGGGTAGCACCCCGAAGTGAATTTCTTTGGTCTGGTACACATAGCACAGCGAATTCCCTATTTTGAAGCCAGATAATTGCCAAAGTATAAATATCCGTCTGAAAAGATTGAAAGTGCAGCTTAATAATAATATAACAATAATGATGTGTCAGACAACC